AAACAGCACCACGTCCATGTTGTGGTGTTCATTGCTAACAACATAAATTCAGTTATAAAGATGAAACATTTAGCAACAATGGCCTTTGAACTGCTGTTAAGTAATCAGTGAACTGTGTTAATATTTATGTTTTATATTATGTTTTCGAATTATTTAATATAAGCTGAAATGCTTCTTTCCTCTTCTCTTCACTTTTCCCTCTTAGAGTGAGACACATCCAAGTTTCAATACTATTTCAAAATGCTCAATAAGGCAAGACCCACCCCCTTTCTCTTTCCCTATGCTGCATCAAACAGAGCTGTGAAAGTTTGAATGAATACACTAATTCTGCAGAATAAATATATTTTTAGATATTTATACTTAATCTGATTACTTCCAAAAGGGATTTGAAGTTATTTACTGAAAAATACTGATCAATGTCAAAACATGAGGACATTTTATGGATTTAAAGAGCTCTACTCCTCACCTGGATATCAGGCTCAATAATTTCCAAACCAACTCTGTGAAGTAGGTCATTCACATTGTGCCTCAGGCAGGCTGGAAGAAGAGGCTGAGATGACATAAGCTAAAGCCTAGGGCTAACTTTATTAAGGAAAATACACAAGTTTCTGCAGGGAATGAGTTTAACAGTTCTTAGAAAAGATTCTTTGGTATCTATACATAACTCTCTAGGGCTAATTATGATTTAATAATTTTGATAAAGAAAGTCCTTATAGTGTCTGATTTATTTCTTCTAGACTCTCTACCATAATTCAAGTAGCTTATATCAAATAAATTCTGGTACTAAACTGCGAGATTATATTGTTCAGCAAATGAGCAAGTGCTATTTGCTATATAGTTAGAGTTTATCACTGTTATAAAAATTTAGGTTGCGATATGATTTTTACTGAGGAAGCAAAATTCACCCCCTTTGTAAAGGTTAACATTTTTATATTAGGCTGTGATTACAGAAAACCAACCAACCAACCAACCAACCAACCAACCAGTAGAAACAACTGAAATAAGCAACTATAAAATGTTATGCCATAAACCAGGGCTAAAAATTTCTGAGGCTACAGTAGTTGGCATGTGTGCCAAAAACCACTTCAGAAAATTATTGAGCTAACAGTTCTTTTCACTGCGTATATATTGGCTTCTACAAGAGAGGTAGTACTACATATTGTTTATCACAGTCCCTATGTTGCCAGTTACAGTAGCTATATGACTTTGTGTAAATTACTTTCCCCATATATACAAGGTAGTTGTGAGAATTAAAAGACATCATCTATGTAAAAGGGCTTATTCCAGTGCCCAACAAATATTAAGCTCTTCATATGTATAAGCTATCACCACCACCATCATTATCATTATCATGCCATCATCAGCATCATCTTTAAAAAGTAAAAAAAAAACCAAAAAACCCTTTACTATTTATCCTAACATATACATCATAATATACTCTGTAATTTCCACCTACATCTGAATAATTATAACTTCTATAAATTTCATGATGTTAAGGACTTTGTGTAATTCACCTCTATATCCCTTGGGCCTAAACCAGGGCCTAGTACACAGAGAGAGCTCCAAATATTTTTTGTTTGTTTGTTTTTTTGTTTTGAATAAACAAATGCATACATTTTTATATATGCCAATGTGAATTATTTTTCGTGACTGTTAATTTTACAAAGATCTTTTCCCTTCATTTTATTTTTATCCCTTCTTTTTTTATTTATTTTTATTTTATTTTAGTTTTTTATTGGAGTTCAATTTGCCAACATATAGCCTAACACCTAGTGCTCATCCTGCCAAGTGCCCCCCTCAGTGTCTGTCACCCAGTCACCCCAACACCCTACCCATCTCCCTTTCCACTATCCCTTGTTCGTTTCCCTTCATTCTAAGTGAGGTCAGTTCTGCAATTTATAATCCACCTATTTTAATCCTTCCTGCCCATTTCATGTTCAATGGAATTATGTACTCCTTAATATCAAGTTTAAAAAAAAGGAGGTGGGATCCCTGGGTGGCGCAGTGGTTTAGCGCCGGTCTTTGGCCCAGGGCGCGATCCTGGAGACCCGAGATCGAATCCCACGTCAGGCTACCGGTGCATGGAGCCTGCTTCTCCCTCTGCCTGTGTCTCTGCCTCTCTCTCTCTCTCTGTGACTGTCATAAATAAATAAAAAATAAATAAATAAAAAATAAAAAAAAGGAGGTCATCATTTAATGTGTATGTGAGCCAAAAGAAAAAGGAACGAAATGGCGTCAATGTGTTTCTGCATTCTCCTAGTACCAGTGGATGATTTTTAATGGTCTGTGGATTCATGCCCTCAGACTGAATGTAGTCCAAATGGGGACGGTGCTAATGATGCCCTGGTCTTCCCTCATTAGGACAGCCCAACAAATAGAGAAGGATATCAGGGTTTATTCTAACAGGAGAAATCCCATAGCATTTTCCTTCTGTGACCACCTCACTCCTCTCTATTAAATCAAAGATATCTTCTGATTGATCCCTAGTTTCCTAGACTATAATACTAGAAAGAGGAGCTTATTTTTCATTGCTTATCATCCTTCTAAGTCTCAGTTAGAGGGGATAAGGGAGGAATATAACTACTACTGACTTAACATTTCTGTCTTACTTCATGGGATAAGCTGAATAGATCCAAATATATTATTAATCAGATCATGTTGACTGTACAGACTTATTTATGAATTCATAGGACTCTAAGACCAAAATATACTTACTCTCCAAAGCCTAAACATAGTAATAGAAAACTTGCTTCTATTTTTTATTTTTAAATTAATTTTACTTCTTAAGGTAGTTAATACATTTACAGGGTACAATAATCAAAACTACATAAAAAGAATATTCTTTGAGAAGTCTCAATCTCTTCTTTTACCACCTGGCTGTACTCAACATTGACCCTAAAATACCAAGTATGAGGGAACTTATGATGTAGATTCTGCCTAGAAGTAGGAAAGCCAATTTTGCCAATTCAATGAGTTCATAGAACCTGAGTCTCAATACACAAAGCATGGTAACTATTTAATCAGACGCCAGATGATTAACACTACTATATACTTGGAAGAAATTGAACACATGATTTAAAATCTACTTGACAAACTCCCACTTACTAATGGTTACTTTTATAATACACCCAAATATGTAGTTACCATATTTTTCATTTTCTTCCTAATGCAAGCTAATACATTTTCAGTAGTTGAACACTTGAAAATCAAGAGGATTTTATTTCACTTCTACCTATTTGCTGAATTACTATGATGAAACAGTAAGAAAAAAAAAGAACAGAATTAGATTTAGTAGAAACAACTACGAGATGGGGAATTTATTAAGGCAAAACCAGAGTGGGCCAAGCTGTCATCAGGCTGAAAGCACTTAAAAAGCAAAGGCTAGGACTTCAAGGTATACATGAACGGAGAGCTGAATGTAGCTAACAGAAACCCAGGATACAACCTTCTAATCCACAACTCTGAAGAGGTTAAGGATAAATGTGTTGACTTGGCCCTCCATGAAAAAAGCAGGTGATCTGATCTGCCTTACCAAGGACCAGAATAGATGCTTGATACCTCATGCAACACAAGAGAACTCCATGGCTTGAGAGACATGAAGCTGTTCATTAGTCAAACTTTATAAGCCCCAAAGTATTAAAATCCCAGGCCACCTGAAGTGTGAAATGACTAACAGTAGCAACACATCCCAATACTAACTGTTCTATGGCGGTTGTAAAAAGTATGCCTTTACTGTTCTTAAATCTCACCTTAGAGTAGAGCATGCTTTGGGCTAAAATTATCCCTGGGCTCTCAGTAATCCCAATTGACGTCAACACTCGAAAATGGCAGGAAACTGGAGGAAATAGTCCCTGCTCTTGGTTGACTGTAACCTGCTCTTTCAAAAGCCTGGGGCATCCTGTTCCCTTGCAGAGAGGGAAAGGAAAGTACATTCAGCGTGAGGATGCTGATATGCTCTAGGAAGCTGCTAGAAGTCACAGGCACCTCTCTGGCTTGGTAAAGTATACTTCTGGGTCTGAGCAGGAGGAAAAACCTACTCAAGGACAAACCTGGGCTTCTTGTGTCACATTTAAAATCACAGGGCGCATCTGAACTTGAATTTACCTGTAAGGGTTTTGCTTGTCTTTCTTTTGGCTCAAGCCTTGAACAACTGATATTCAAAAGACAAAGAGGGGAGAAAATGCTTCATATGAAGAAGAAAGGTCCCTTTCTTTGAGGTTGCTGCTGCAGGTGCTCTCACAAAGAACAAGAGTGGGTAATGAACCTCGGCACATTGCACCCAGGCACTAATCCTGGGACAGCTACCATCACACACTGAAACGTTAAGCCATGGACTGGAGAAAATATTTGCAACACCTATGACCAACAAAGGCTGAATGGCCAAAATATACAAAGAATGCCTGCAAATAGATGAGGGGGGAGAAAAAAAAAGGAGCTAATTTTAGAAATGGGCAAAAGATGAACTGGTCCCTTTGGAGGACAAGGAAAGGCCGTATGGTTGGCCTGGGCTTGCTGGAAAAGGCTGGTATGAGTAGGTCAGAGCCAAGCATCTGTGTCAATGCCACAAAGCTGGAGGGTCACCATGCCCAGGACCTGCAGATCCTGTGGGAGATACCAAGGCTGACCTCCTGGTGGCTTCTCCTGGGCTCCAACCACGGCTCTTCCCCAAGAACACTACTGCAGGAGCACTTTGAACAGGGCTGCATGGTGATAAACCTGGAAGTGCTAATGTGGTTCCTGACTCAGATACTCCAGCTCCAGTCAATGTTAGGAATTCTACTCACTCAGTTCCCTAAGAGTCAAAATTAGATCAGAAACATTCCAGAAGTCAGAACTCAGCATTGTAAACCAACTGAGATCTGAAGTAGACAGCTGGATGGGAGAACTGATCTATCAAATCCCCTAATCTTTTGATATATGTCCCAAACACATGGAAAGTTATGGGGAAAAATATAAAAGTAAATGCAAAAAAAAAAAAAGCCTTTTAAAATTGCGAACACTCATTTTCCAGAGATAAAACTTTATTTAAGGCATCAAGCAATATACTGAAAGAGGTGAGTCATGCACAAGTAATGTCCTTATTTCCATAATTGTACATTTGATACTTTCTGCCCTCTTAAAAAGGGTGCGTAGTGAGCAAAGATGAGAAGCATACAGCTTTTAAACATAACCATACAATATAAGTGTTTAAGAAAGTCTTTAAATTTTGTTTTCCTTGTCTGAGAGGAATTTCGATTTTATTTCAGAAAACCAAAACAAACTAGTTCTTCTACTGAGGATGAAATTTCTCTCCAGAGTTATTTATGAAATAATGCAGCTGCCTTTCTCTTTAAAAGGATTCTTGTCTTCTGGAATTCCTTTCACCAGAGGATCCTCTCCAGAACGTTCTTCAATGTAGTTCTTTATTTCTTCGGAACATTTAGACACCTTGAGAAAAAAAAAAAAAAAAAGAAGAATGAATTAGGTCAGGATTGTCTACACTCTGTTACCACCCTTTAGTGAAATTAATATAATTGAGTACAGCTAGCATTTAAAAAAATGAAATAGTATAAAGATATTAGCACAAAGCATGTATAATATATATATGCTATACATGAATGACAGAGTCATGTAAAATATATTTCTATGTTGAGGGCCAAAAAGCTTGAAAGTCACTGTACTGAATAGATCTTCCCCAGCAATTTCTATCCATTGTGCCTCATATGATTTCCTTCCTCTACTATAACACAATTATGATGTGTCCATAATATTTTAGGATCTAAATCAAAGTGGGGTATCCCACTTTCAATTTCCCATGCTAATGAACAGGTGCAGTAATAGATAATCCCTAAATGTTTTGGGCTGTGCCCTGCCAAAATTCTCACTTAATATGGGTGTGTACCTTGTTCTGCAATTTTACAAAATGATAGAAACATTGGAGAAAGTCTGATCTGGGAGGCTGAAGTTGCCCAATCATACCATTTGTGTCTCTATTCTGAATTCCTTCCTATTGCTTGAGGGCAATGATCCTAACAAAAGATTTATTTGAGGTTTATTAGGCTTATCTGAGATTCTGGTGTTTATGTAATTAGTTGAAACTCTTTCTGCAATGGAGAAAGGATTGAGAAGTTTTTTCAAAAACTCTGTCCTTCAGAGATAGGTTGCAAGAGTGAGTTTAAAAAAGAAAAAGCAATAAAAAAGAAAGGGAAAAAAAGGATTAGTGTCTTAATGAAGGCCTGCATTGCTAAGAAGAAATTAGAAGTAAAATTAGCAGAAGCTCCAGCAAATTCTAATAGAGACCTCTTAACTCTAGGAAACTGTTCCCATTGAATTTATACTCTAGATTAGCAATCCTCAAATTGTTTTAATAGTGATCACTAAAATATGTTTGCATATGTATCCCAAAATGTTTATAATTATAAATAACGTGTAATTATTTGCTTATAAATAAGTACAGATGCTACTGTGTTAATAACTAATGTGTAATTATAAAACATGAACAGGAAATTGTCAAAAGATGAGATTTAAATCTAATCAAAAGTAGAAATTTTAATATTTTACTCCCATGCGCCAAATACTCTTCACACACAATGTGAAGACCACTGTTCTAAAATTTAAAACTAGGTGATGGTAGTTATAGGACTTAAAATGTAGTGAAATAAAAATCTTTTCAAGGTTTTTCAGGTGCCATTCTCTCAGGTAACAATCTCTCTGATTTGTTGCTGACATTTATAGTGCACACATTTTATGTGTTGTCAGAAGTACAGATGCAAGGTAATCATAACATGGGGTCTGTCTCCCCAGATATTTGTGGATAAGATTAGAGTTCCCCCAAATGGTATCTGTTCTTTTTTAAAAAAAAAAAAAAAGAAAAAAAAAGATTTTATTTATTTATTCAAGAGAGACACACAGAGAGAAGCAGAGACACAGGCAGGAGAAGCAGGCTCCCTGCGGGGAGCCCGATGTGGGACTTGATCCCTGGACTCGGGGATCATGACTCGAGCCTAAGGCAGGCACTCAACCTTGGAGCCACCCAGGCGTCCCAGTATCTGTTCTTACAGAGCCTTCTTCATTAGTTTCCCAAAAAGATCTGTAACCTCCTAGAGAATAATTACTCCTCGGAGCATTTCCTTCCATGATCAAGAAGATATGTTTGAAAAACAATTAGCTGGAGCCAGAATTCAGCCTATGAATTCTGTGTCCTTGGCCTGAGCAGAGCACACATCTTAGCCATGAACAATTTATTGACAGAATAATGAACTAGGCGTCAGAACGCATGTGTTTTAGTACATGCCCTATCATTATCTCTGAGGTCTTGAATAAGGAGGTACTTAGTCTCCTTGGAATTCAAGTTATTCATCCTTAAAAGTGAGAGCACTGAATGATCCCTAAGAGCCATAATGATTGTATAGCACTAATACTCTATAATTCAAAGTGTGCAATAATATATGTTTGCATATTATTATTAGGATTTAGAAGTCTCTCCTTGTAATCTCCTAAGGCTATCTTTGAGGGCTTTTTTTTTTCTCCCTTTGGCATACACTGGAAAACTGATCCAGCAGGGTGTGGCAGGGAGGAACAGCTAATGAATGATACCTTTAATTTCTACACTGTCAGCTGCATCCAGGCCCCTGCCCAATTTCTGATTTGAAGCTTAAAATACCTAGAAGACACTTGTCTCTTTTTTCTCCTGTAAGTTCTGCACATTCCAGTATCAGGGTATTCCAACTTTGTTCAATGCTGCACTTCAGTATATGCGACTCTGTTTAATATGTAACCTCTAAGGTACATTGCGTGAAAAAACTCCAAGTGGCCAACACTTAGCCATCCACAAAATGGGTCTCTTAAAGTTTCAAGAAACTACCCTATTCTTTGGGTCCTGTAACTTTGTTTACTCCTTTAAACATAGTATTTTTAAAGCTTTAAAAAATGGATAGAAATAACTTTGCATTCCAAAATCTAGGGAGAATAGGGATTTGGAAGTGAAGGGTTAAATTTCAGAAAAGAAATATGTAAAGAGTAAAACTCAGAAACAACCGCATCTTCCAAATATCACTCATAATGTTCATACTGAGTGACAAGGCTCTGTCATAAATAGAATTACCATAACTGGATCAGGAAAGGAAGGGAGCGTATCTACTAAACCCGCTTAATCTCAATTGTTTTTCTTAAATTTTTCTTGTGTTAACCCATAGAGAAATGAAATTAGTTTAACTTTTTCTTGCTGTGGAGAAAGGAGTAGATCATTTCTTTTAAAAAATCTCTATACAAAAACCTCTTCCAGGACTGCCTGATTTGAGGGGAAAAAAGGAAGAAATGCATGCTCATATTACCAGTAAGACGTAAACAGTACAAAATCTCCAAGAAATTTCGGTGGAGACTTCTGAACACCAACGTATGTGTTCTCATTGAATTTGTAATCCACTTCAGTGGCCTCTAAAATTTTTAATCATGATCACTAAAACGAATGTTCATATGCACCTCAGTCTCATTATTTATAACCAAATGCAGATACTACTGGATTAGTTGACTGTGCATACTTACTAAACAAAATGGAAAGTAAAAAAGGGATGAGAGTTAACAAATAAGTAAAGATAGAAATTGTAATATTTTGTTCCCAAGCCCCAAGGAGCAGTTCATTGCATACCTCTGGAGAGGCCTGGTGAAATTCGAAATCGTGTCATTCAAATTACCTCAATTGTGATGAATTAAATAGTGATTTACAAAACCCCACAAACAGACCATTCTCTCCCATAATGAAAAAGACCAAGGAACTAAATAGCCATCCGCCTTCTTCCTACAATTTGGGTGTTTATTTTTTATTATTATTATCTTTTTTTCCAATTTGAGTTTTTAAAACCAACTAACAGCAGGCAGCGTTTTTGGTGCATTTCCCCAACGGGAGGCTCGGATGTTCTGCCCTTTCTCCTCGGACCCTTGCCTCTCCTTCACCGCCTGAGCTTCCCCCACGTCGGCTGGCAGTTCCCAGGTCCCACCGAAGCCCTACTTCAAGGGAAGCTGGGGGGAGGGACCCCAAAACAGCAAAAAAAAAAAAAAAAAAAAAAAAAAAAAAAAAAAAAAAAAAAAAAAAGCTGTACTGTTTTACTATAATACACCAGGGGAAAAACTGCCCTTGGTTCATTTCAGGGAAGGAAATATTCCGGGGCAGCCCTTTTACCTGCTGCCTCTGCAACTTCACTTCTTTGCGAAGTTGCTCAACTTCCATCTTCAGCTTTTCCTTTTCTGGCAGATCTTCGATGTGAAGGGCCGGCATCCTCGCCCCAGCCCCGGCCCGGGGACCGCTCCGCAAGGGGAGAGGCTGCGAGTGCAGCGGAGCCCGGGGCGCGTCCCGAAGGAACTGCGGGGCCCGCGCACCCCGCCCGCCGCCCCGCCCCGCCCCGCCCGCCGCCCCGCCCCGCGCGCCCCGCCGCGCCCCCCGCGCCCCGCCGCCTCGGGTCGGCCCCGGCTTTCCCTCCGCGCGCCCGCGGCCCCAGCCGGCCCGGGGGCGGGGGGGGGGAGCCCGAGCGGCCCCACGCGGCCGGACCCCGCCACGCCCCCGGGGGACCCCCCGCGCTGCGGCCGGCGCTTGGGGCCGCGCCAGCCCACTTTCCCGCAGAAACAAGTTTTACTTTTTGTTCCTTTTTTTTTTTTTTTCCTCCCCGTTCCCAAGTCACATCCGGGTTTTGTTCGCGAAGCAAGAAAAGGAGGACCCTACCCGGCAGGAAACGACCGTCCTTCACCTCTAAGAGTCGCACCGACGTGCGGCCTGTTATTTCCCCGGTTACGGCCATATGCGCTGTGGGAAACGTGGGCGCAGGCGGAGAGGCCCAGGAGGAAAATGAAACTGAGCTGTAATGTCAGAAGCCACCCAGCGGGCCTGTTGATGCGCATCCACCCGGGCTGGTAAATGCCTGAAACATATTGACGCATTTGGGGGTCACGGGGGCATCGGGACCCGAACGCTGCGCACCACTTGCACGGCCGGTTGCTGACGTTGATACACCGTCTGCACCCCCAGCAGGGTTCTTATTGTTGCTTCAGGGGAACGTTTTGAAACGATTTGGAGGATACACGGATGATACTAGAGAAGACAGAAGCAGGAATCTTAAGAGTTCTTACCACAAAGTGTGTCTCCACTTCCCATCAACCGGGGTTTGGGTGACAGTTGACACCAAGGGTTGTGAACTCCTGACTCCAGTACCTCCCTGGGTGTAGGCCGCGGATTGACTCAGTGCTGGTGTCTCTACCTTCACTCAGCGTTGGTGTCTCCACTATCTGCAAAGCAGGATTCATCTTGCTGCCATTTCGGAAAGGCAGGAAAAGTGTCTGATGTGACATGCGTTTACCTGCAACATAAAGTTTCCCTTTGACCATAAACTAAAACCTTGTTAATGATACTTAGTAGACTAGAAGAAAAATAAAGCATGAATTTAAAAAACCTTTCCCAGCAGTCAGATATTTCTCTTTTTGGAGATCACCTCCTGCCTACGGAGTCAAATTCAAGTTACAGGTGGTAGCATGAACTCAGTATTTCAGGGTACCTGGCCTTAGAACCCAAAGCCACTCCCTATTTTGTAAGCACAGATTTTTAGTTGTTCATCATTTCTCTCTACATTCTACTTGATTATCCTCAATGAATATATTGGAAGGAGAAGAACAATGAGCTGCTTGATGAGTACTCTGGGTCTAGTCCCAGCTTTGCCACTGACAATCACTGGAAAAATCACTTAGTTTTTACTGGATTTTGGCTTTCTTATTTATAAAATATTGATGGGGAAGGAGAATAGCAAATTAGCTAAGGTATGTTTTGTTTCTAATTGTATTTATGTGTCCACATCTGATAAGTCACTTTCACAAAGAAAATTGTTAAGGAGCTTCTTTTTCTGTATTTGAAATACCACACATTCCAGGATCTCCCAGGCTCAAAGAAGTTAAGTCAGCTGCCAGAGTTTTCCCCTGTTAGTAAGTGGCGAGCCAAGACAAAAAACTCACATCTGTCTCCAAAAGCAATTCATATTTTTTGATTCTCCATTGCTTAGTTTTTAAAAGTTGGTTAAAAATAACTTAAATAAGTTAGTGAAAGTAGTTAACATGGCCCAAATTAAACAAGTGCAGAGCCCAAATTAAATAAGTTGGTTAAGTAACTTAATGTTGTCTGTTCCAGATCATAAAAATAGAATTATTTTGGCCTGGAAATTTCTTCTGTATGAAATCATCTAGTTCCATGCAGTGATAAATAGTTATAAATCCGTAGTGGTTATTTAACTTCTTCCACAGTATTATGAGACTTAAATTAGAGATGAAATATATATTAGCATACTATTTTTAGTTTTTGTTCTTATAAAATAATGCATGCCTCTAATATATTAACTGATTAAAATGAATTAGGAAATGCTGAAATCCCATGATCACACAGCATTCTGAAAAATGTCTTGTTTGGTTTTAAACGGTAAAATAATGAGAACACTTTTCTTTTTAGAAGAGCATGTAGCCCCTATCCCTAAGCATGGAATTTACCTCTTAGAGAGCAACCATGGTAAACAGTTTCTTGTGTATTCTCACAGAAATGTGCTATCATCAAAATTTTTTGGATAAAGTTTGAAATCCATACTACTTATATCCAAATGTCATGTTAGCTTTTTACTTATATTTTACATATGACCTGTAATAAAAATTGTTTTACAAAATAGTATGTGTACAAACCATTCTGCAATGAAAATAACAGACATAATCAGAAAATAGCCTTTTTTAGCCCACTGTCTTTTCACAAATGTTTTAAAGAAATTTGCTTAAGAAAATTAACCATGTGGTTATTTCTACCTTTAAAGTATGAAAGAGCAAAGACTATGAAATATTTACCTTGATATACAAAAAAAAGAAAAAAGAAAAGAAAAGAAAAAAGAAAATCAATACAATTCTTGACCACTTTTCTGATGTATTTAGTATGTTGTTGAAAAATCCATATAAAGGAAACTGTATAAGAAAATATTGAGGGCAGTTATATTGTAGTTGATTTAATTCTCGGTTGAAATAAAAAAGACCGGGGTTCTGGTCTTACTCTATCTTGTGATCTTTTTTCAAGACATAGGTACTCTCTGCCTTTGTTTTGTTGTTGTAAATAAACTGGGTTATTTCTCAAATTCTGCTCTTTTAGAATTTACAAAGTTAATGGTGACTGATCAGGCCATTAAAATGATGGTTTTTAAGGAACATATTTAACACATTTGATACACTCAATTCACTTTGTTTTAGTTCAATTTTTTATAACAATCACATGGAACATTTCACAATCTAACCCATTCCATGAAACTATGTATGTAGCTTCCTTTTCTAGGTGAAGATAATGTGAAGTTACAGAATGATTTATGTCATCCAATGCTCCAATCACCTTAACAGCTACTTATAATTTATATCAAAATGATTTATCAATTCTGCTCTACAAGACTTTAAGTTCCATTATAATTGGTCATTCCTATTACTCTGTTTTACTCTTTTCCTCATGTTAATACATTCTTTCAGAATTGAGCAAGTTTGATATTAGCCTTGTTTTGAAATCTGGGTAAAATCAAATCAATTAAAATTAAAATAATAGTGAGAGTTTTTTTTTTTTTTTCTTGCTAAAGGTTAAACTCACCTATGTGTACAAAATACCTCAAGGTGCAAGTATCTCAACTGATAAATTATAGTAACCTATTCTCCTTGCTGGTACCAGGAAATTTTGTGGACAAGCCAAATGCTAAGGCTACGTATAGTGTTTCTATACTCTGTAGTCTTACCTCATTCCGTTTAACCTAGGTTAAAAAACGTAATAACTTCTGGGGGGAAAAAATCACTCCCTGTTGTAGCTATATAGCCTGTGGGATAGTCATGATCTCACATCCTTCTTCCTAGACTATCTTTCTTTATATACGTCCTTTCTTATTCCAACTCCTACAAACAGTCTGTATTTTTCAGTAACAGAAATGTTACCCTACTTTTGATTTATTCCCTAGTTAAGCTAATAAGAATTCTGAATTATCTAATATAAAACGTACTGTCCTTTCCTGCTTTTAATTGAACACTTACTAAGTCAATTCAATTGTAGAGACAATTTATTAGTTGATATGGCAGTTTCAAAGATTAACAGAGCTTCTGGCTTGGGAAATTTACAATACAGAATTGAGAGTAAGACAACCACACAGATGATAATGAAAGGAGGCAAAGCAATGTTAAAAGGGTTACAAGATACACAGAATACTCTTGGGATGGAGTGAGGGACAGAGGAGATAGTTTATAGCAAGCCTCAGAAAAGGAGTAGGATTTCAAAAGGCTGAGATGAGTTAGAACAGAGGGACATTTCAGGTGGAGAGGTCAGTCTGACTAAATGGAAGAAGGTGGGGAAATAAGGTGTCAAGTCAGGGATATTTGACACTTAATTTTGTTGACTATAGAAAGTCTCCAGGGTTTATTATAATAGAGGACATTTATTGGGTTTTTATCTATATCTGTCCTAAGTGATTTTAAATTTTTATGTAAGAATCCATTCTATTCTCTCCTTTTATATGTGAAAAACACCCTGATGTTCCCAGAGTTGAAGTAGAAAAATGGCAAGTCAGGGTTTTGACTTAGAATCATCTGCTTCCCAAATCTATCCAGTGTTAGAGAAAAGCTAGAGATTTTGGGTAGGACCATACATGTTACTAAATGCTGGCAAAGACTATACTTTTTTTTAATCAGGGGAAAAAGAAAATAAAGGGAACACTTAATAAACACTAAATTGCACATAGAAATATCTTTGAGATAGACCACAATTAAACAAATTAACAAGTAAAGTGTATAGTACGCTAGATGGTGATGGGTGCTATGGAAGAAAAGAGAGTGGAACGTGGAGAGAGGAAGTGCTAAGGAATGGTTGGAGAAGAGTTTTGTCATTTGAAAGAGGGGAAAAGAGCATCTCCTGAGGAAAAAAATAAGAAGCTCCGAGTTGACCCTGGAATCTGTTAAAAGCACATTTGATATGTGGTAGAGTGTGTTGTTAACCACTCAGCCAGAGACTCAGAGTCTACACCTGAAAAACTTGCCAACTCCTTTCTTTGAGCCGAGATTTTCTGTTTCAAAATAAAGGGGTTGGACAAGAGTCAGTAGATCTTTGTTGAGCATTTACTACGGCCAGGGTGCAAAAGTACCATGCTGGGAGCCAAACTTGGGACGACCTGGAGATTCCCTTCCAGACCAAATATTAGGTAATTCTTCTTTTTAAAAAGAATGACAAGCAATTAGCATTTCATTGTATTCTGATCACTGACATATCCACAACCAGCACTGTAAATGTGAAATGGCAACAAGGAAACACAACAAAAACAGTTTCTGAGTTGGGGTA